GTAGCCTACAGTCTTCCTCTTCCTCTTCTCTAACACTATGTTTAAGGTGTTAGCTTATATATAAACTCCTATAAGGGGTTTGCAATAGAAATTAGCAGGTAAGTTACTATTCTTGTCTCTGTAGTTTACAGAGAACACTACCTAGTTGTCTAGGGCCTCTAAGTCCTTGCATGTCGCTGCTGGTTCCTACGTTGCTTTTGCATAGCCGCGCCACTTCACAAGATACAAACAGTCACAACTACTAGTCCCTGTTACTTGTTCTGCGTTAATTTGTTTAACCTCCTATTCCTCTGCTAACAACCTGTTATTGTTTACAACTATAAGCAGGCCTAGCTGTTAGTTATTGTTAGTTTAGCCATGCAGAGGGTTCTAGGGGTATAGGCGTAGCCACTTAATATAAAAAACAGGGTAGATGTTCCCTTTAACGTCAAGTTTAACGTTGTGAGGAGACACTACCTCTATAACAGTAAACTTCTAGTTCTTCTAGTCTAGTTTCTAGCTTTCCCTGTTGTTAGAGAAGTGAGTACCTAGTTTAAGCTATACCTTGTTACCTACCTGCAACTAGGGAGCCTCTTTGCAGTGCTTGTTAGCCTGTAGTTCTTGTGCTTATTAAGCTTCTGCTATCTTAGATTATGCAAAGCTAAATGTCTTAACAAACTTCTTAGTCATAGTAACAGCTACTTTACCTAGAGACCTTGCGTAGTAGTGTAACAGCTCTGCTGTTAGGTCTAGGTCCTCCTAGACAACATCTACATTGTACCTGTGTTGTAAGAAGAAGGGACTTACGCCTGTAGATGCAGCAATTCTCTCTTTAATTGCGATTTAGGCAATAGGTACCTATTAGGCCTAGTCTTTCTGCGACTAGTTGGTGTAAGCGCAGAGGTAGGCTTCTACTACAGAGTTCATGCGTTTAGTGCTCCTATTAGTTTGTAGGTAAAACGCAGTTAATAACCTCTGTGTAATCTTTAGCATGCAACACATAACTGTCTAGAAGTTGCTTAAGAACTAAGATCCTTAGTCTAATATAATAGTGTTAGGGAGCTAGTAGTGTACTACTACATGTGTAAGAAACACTTTTACTACTATGTTAACCTATAAGCTAGGTAGTAGAATAAAGGTTACGTCCTTAGAAAGATAATCTGTAACTACTATAAGGTTCTAGTTACCCTTACTTTCTAGAAGGTCTGTAATAAAGTCTATAGAGATTTCCTTCTAGATCCTTTTAGGTATTAGGAGTAGCTTTAGTAATCCTTATTTTAGTTCTCTCTATAGCTTTATACGTCTACAGATGTTGCAGTTCTCTACGTACCTCTACAATGCTAATAACATCCCAGGCTAGAAGTATAAGTAGGACAATATTAAGTACATGTTGCCTCTACCTAGGTAACCTATAATAGGCAAGTAGTAGATCTTATTAATAATCTGTCCTCTTAGGACTTCTAAATTAGGTACCTATTTCTGCTTACAGTAGCGCAGTTGCCCTAGATTATTAACTAAATATTCTGCAAGCAAGACTTTAAGACCTAGTTATAGAGGGAACTTCTACGCGCTAGACAAGATTATGTCTCTTGCTAGTTAGTAGGTATTATCTACTGTAGCTGTAGTTGCCTACAGTTGCTCCTGTGTGTTAATGTTATTGTAAGGTTTATCTTCTTAGTAGCTATTACTTGTCTAGACTTCTTGTCTACAGGCGTGTGTTGTAACAGAGTAGATACTAGGTAGTTTAGCTATAGTTAACTGTGCTAGTTAGAGGCCTTCTGCGCACTAGAGGGATATAGGGCAAATTTTTGCTAAGAATGCTACTGTAGCACCTGCTTCCCCCTTATTATAAGTAGGTTTTTGTACCTAAGCAAATAGTTTTAGTAACTAGAATTTTTATATTTGCGTTTAATTATTACCTGTTAGAGGTAGCAAGTCCTCTTTGCGTCTAGACAAGGCATTAGCCTAGCTATTAACTTTTCTAGGATAGTACACAAATGTTAGATTAAACTAGCTTAACAAGCTTAACTACCTAACATGCCTTTCTAACAGCAACCTTGTTTTGCAGAAGTACTCTAGATTCTTATAGTTAGTAACAACTATAAAGTGTTTCACAGATCTTAGCTTAGTGCTCTATTCCTAGAGGCACTTAATAACTACTAGCATCTCCTTGTTGTAGATAGTATAGTTCACCTTAGCCTTTGTGTTTTTTGTAGAGAAGTATGCAACAGTCTGCAGGACGCTATCAGTCCTATACTGCAACAGTACTCCCCTAGTGGCCTATCTAGAGGCGTCGCACTCTAGGATTGTCTTTAGGTCCTTATTAAAGTTTAACAGCGCAGGTTCTGCAATAAATACTATCTTTATAGCCTTAAAGGCTAATTATTAAGGCTTCCCCTACTTAAACACTAAATTCTTCCCTATTAACTAAGTTAGTAGTTCTACTATTAAGGAGAAGTTACTAATAAACTATTAATAGAAGTTAGCAAACCCTAGGAAGCTCTATATCCCTTTTACTAATTTTAGGGGTTCCTAGGCCTTAATAGTAGTAACTTTTCCTAGATCTATCTAGATCCCCTTACCTACTTTAATAATAAAGCTAAGGTACTTAGTCTTCTTAATAGAGAACTTATACTTCTTAATATCTAAGTAGAGGCCTGTGTTACCTAACTTCTAAATAATGTCCTTAACTTTAGCTTTGTATTCTACTTATAACCTACTTAAGTAGATAAGCATATTGTCTATGTACACAGAACACTATTTATCTAGATCTTCCTGTAGTACCTAATTAATATACTGTTAAAAGGTACTAGGGGTGTTAGTAAGTCTAAAGGGGGTTATAAGCTACTTATATAGTCTAAACCTTATCTAGAAGGCTATTTTCTACTTATTACCTTTAGTAATATAAATTTTATAGAATGCTTAGATTATATTAACTTTAGTAAACTATTTAGCCTTTAAGATTTGTAATAGGGTTTTGTAGATTAGTAGTAGGGGGTACTAGTCTTTTTTTATAATTATATTAAGTGCCTAGTAGTTAACGCAAAATTAGAGACCTCTGCCAGGTTTCTAGGCAAATAGCACTAGCGCTGAGGCGCTAGATTTGCTCACACAAATGAAGCCTCTGTCTAGGTAGCTAGTTAGTTGTTAGTAGAGGACTAAGAGTTCTTCTCTTAACATGCTGTATAGGGGTCCCTAAGGGATTATTGCTAGTTTGCTGTCCTGCTTAATAAGCTTAATAGTATGGTTAACGTCTGCTCCTCTGTGTAGAGCTAGTTTGTCTGCTTCTTCCTTTATAAACGTCTAGAACTCCTCCTTTAGGTAGTTAGGGAGGAGGACATAAGGGTCCCTAGAGGCCTTTTTTTTTAAGGCTTTCTGTATGTCTGCTATAGAAGTAGAGAAGATTTCTATTAAAGAATCTTTCTTTAACTACTTTTGTAGTGCCCTATACAGCTCTAGGCTAACCTACTGTAGTACTAGCTCTAGTCTGATGCCTTCTTTGCTCTGCACCCTTGTTATAGACAAGTAGATGAATAGTGACTTCTTAGCTAGCGCTAGGGTTACTTTGTGCTTATCTATCTACAGGCAGCCTAAGATTAGGTTGTATTTACGTTCTCCTTTAAGGACGTACATAAACATCTGTTTAACATAGCTGTTAATATTAATCCTTATCCTAACTGCTTTCTTCAGCCAGGTTATCTTGCTAGCCACGCTAATAACTTGTTTCCTTAGTATAGAGATGTGCCTAAGGTTATTTTGTGTTATAAAGCTTAAAGAGATAATTCTATAAGTTAAGCACCTAGTATTAATTAGTGTGTGTGCTATAGTCTTGTTGTCTATTAAAATATACAACAAGATAGGTTTGCTATCTAGCTATTGCTAATAGAACTACTAGAATAACTTGCTATCCTAGTTAACCTTACTAATTAACCCCTGTCCGCAACTTAGGACAGGAGGTTCTAGTTTTCTAAATTAGAATTGTTCAAGTCTAAGTATTCCTCCACACTGTTCGTCGTGGCAGCTGCGCTGACCTGTACAGTACCTAGTCGTCTAGCTGGGGCTAGCTTGCATTAGTTAACGTAGTGGCCATCTCTGCCACACTAGAGGCACTAGTTGTTAGCCCTTCGCCTGTTAAGGACCTCTTGTGGTTTCTATTTAGCTTGTTTATGTTTGTTGTTATTATTATTATTATCTACGCGCGCAGCATAGACTTTTGTAGGTTCCTAGTCTATCTTATTATTGTCCTTCCTTCTAGGTTGTTGTTTAAACAACATATTGTAGGTATAAGTCTTAACTTACCTTAGGTTAGTCTCTACTTTTAAGACTTGTGCTATAAGGGTCTAAAGTTCCTATTCTTTAAGGACTTCTACAGATACTATCTTGTCCTAAAGGTTACTATAGATAGTAGATATATACCTTATCTTAAGGTTCTATTTATTTTCTTCTTCTCTAGTATTAAAGGCTAGCTAGACAAACTCTGTGTTAAAGGCTTTAAGGCTTTATCTGTTTTTCTTTATTATAATTATCTATAGCTTCTAACAAGATCTTTCTTTAAACTAGGTGTCTTAGTATTATTTATTAAGGAAGCTCTAGAATTCTGTAGTTAATCCTAGCGTGCACGGCCTCGTTGTGCACCGCGGCGCGTAATGCACCAACATCAACATTGACGCGTACTTTGTACCCCCCTATAACTCAACACCACGATGCCGCTGGAAGAAGCCCTTGCAGAGCTAAATACTTTAGGCCCTACTAAAGACTTTTTGTACAGAAAGCTTGCTAAAAAACACAGTTGTTGTCACACAACATTAATCTGCAGGCACAAGGGTAAATGCGCGTCGCGTAAAGCTAAGGCAGAACACTAGATAGTTCTCTACCCACACAATAAAGTAGAGGTTGTGCAGTACATCAAATCGCTCACAGAGAGACACCTCATGCCTACAAGAAAGATTCTTGTCAGAATAATCAAGTCGTTGTGCAAGTGGGAGCCCTCCAATCAATAGGTCACGTGCTTCCTTCATCACTACCCTGACGACCTTCTCACAGCCTGGAGCGCGCCTATGGAAAAGCAGCGCCACAACGCTGCTTCATACGATTCCTTTCGCTCATACTTTGATCTGCTGCACAGTACCATTAAGCAGCATTCAATACAGCCAGAGAACACGTACAATATAGATAAGAAGGGATTCATGATTGGAGTGATGAGCAAGGGCGTCAGAATCTTCAATAAGCAGCTCTTTAGACTCTGGAAATACAAGCTAGCATCTCATGATAGCAACAGGAAGTGGGTGACAGTGGTAGGAGCAGTAGGAGCTGATGGTTTTACGTTGCCGCCCGCAGTTATTTATCCTTCATTGTCTCTCCAGATGCAAGAGAGCTGGGTGCAGCGCGTTAAGGCCAAAAAACACGATATACACTTCAGTACCTCAGTAAATGGCTGGACGAACGATGCTCTTGGTGTTGCCTGGCTCAAGCAAGTGTTTGATCGCCATACAAGAGTGAGGGCGCGAGGGAAGTACAGACTCTTGATCCTTGATGGCCACGGCAGCCACGTCACGCAGGCCTTTATTGAATACGCTCATGCCAACAAGATTCTGCTACTTATATTCCCTCCGCATGCTACTCACGCGCTTCAGCCGCTTGATGTGGCGTGCTACAGGCCGTTGGCGCAGCACTACTCTGATGAGCTCCTTCATCGCGGCCACACCACCGAGGGGTGGGTACCTGTGGCTCAGGCTGACTTCTTCCCGCTTTTTTGGGCAGCGTAGAAGAAGACCTTCACTAAAGACCTTGTTGTACAGGCCTTCAAGTGCACTGGGATTCACCCACCAGATGCTGACGTCGTGCTCAAGAAGTTCAGAAACCCAACACCAAAGTCGCCCAGCACGACCCCAGAGCCTACTTAGCTTCAGCCTGCACCAGAATCACCTAGTTAGCGCAAGACGTCGCGGCTTCTCAAGCGTGCAAGAGAAGATAATGTACCTAGTGCTGCTGAGGCAGTTGATCAAGCCCTTCACCAACTCCACGTGCGATTAGAGATCTCAGAGGCTAGGGTTGACGGCCTAGAAGAGGCTCTAAAGGCTAATAAGAATAAGAAGAGGAAGTGGAAGGTACTACCTTTGCAACCTATTAATAGTAATAAGGGTGGTGGTGTGGTTCTCTAGAGTCCTTCACGCATTAAGCGCGCAAAGCAAGAACTCTAGGCAAAAGAGGACCTTAAGCGCGCTGCAGAGGCAGCAAAAGCTACTAAGAAGGAGCTT